GGGTACCGGCCGCTTAAGGACATAGCACGTAGCAATTTATTTTTCGTGTTACGCGTAATGTCTGGAACACTTCGAATATGCGCCTTGTGCTACTGCCTTTGCTCATCGTGTAACCTTTTTTTTTTTTTTTTACTTAGCTGTTAAGCATTTAGTTGAGAATAGCGTTGTATTCAAGTATTTGTAAATTTATAGACTGGTTGTTCTTTACCCATTATTTGCGATGGTTAATGCAAGTTACGTCACCTGGCTGTGTGCCTCTTGGGTTTAAACTGAGGGGAAGAAAGTGTGTGGAAGGGAGAGGAAGGACCAGCCCTGGGGGGCTGCCAGTGGCAGCACCTGAACTGATCTGAACCCCAAAATCTTGTTCCTGGGGATGGGTCATGTCAGGGAACTAACGTGACTTACCTAAAAAAAAACCAAAACAAACAAACAAAAAACCCACCACCCCTACATCAAAAAGGTAAAGACCAGTCAGCATTACAGAATTAGAATAGTTTCTGATACAAAAAAGCAATGCTCTTTGGGGATGGGCAGTGGGAGAGGAGTGGCCCTGGGAGTAGTGGGGAAATAGATTTATAAGCCATGAGAAACGCCAGCAGGGTGAATAAGAATGAGGTGTTCACTTACTTTTCTAGCCTCACTATGAGGAATCAAAGCTGGCAGGTTGAGTGTTTCTTAGCAATGTGTAGTGTGGAACTCTGGAAATCTATGGAATGGCAATGCCAAAAGCTCATATGGATCTCAAGCAGAGTAGAAAGCTGCCAAGAAACCCCCTGAGGGTTGTTAAATATGAAGACTTTCTTTGGCAATGCCCGAATGAGGGACTGGAGGCTGGGGAGAGTGTTTGGGGCGGGGGGGGGGTATTGCCTTGTGGGTTTAGTTTTGGTTTCTTTTACAATCTTCCCCTTTACTATAGTTATGGCTACTGTTACATAAGGATTACTTAGAGAAAACCTTCATAAACCGGTGTAAAAATTAGTGTTTCAGCTGCTGATCTACTAATTTGTGAGCTACTGTTGGAGGCAAGGCAGGACTAGCGGGATTATGGTGGCTCTGATGCTTCAAGAGGATAAGACTGTTCTATGAGGCTGCAGAGAGATTTGTTTGGGAAGAACCGTGATACTAAGGTCTCATAACTGTACTTGACACCTACCCTTTCTCCTCTTCTGCAGGAATGTTTTAGATGGGAGGGACAATATGCAGAATTAAAGACAAAGTAAGGCTTTTGAGAACTGCTATGGAAAGTGTATTAGCCTTCAGACCTGAGAACCCATTGTCCTTTGTAACAGTGTGTATATTTATTTAGCATGGACGTTCATAATTTAATCTCTTCCTGAGGTGAGGTGTTTTTGGAAGAAAAGAAATTTCCATTAACTTGAAAATATGCTTGCTCTTTAAAGATCTACTTAAAGAATCTTAGAAATACCCTTATGTTTGAACTTTTATTGCATTGAATACAGATATTGTTTAGCAGTTTTTTACTCTTCAAAATAACATTTATCTTTAAATACACATTCTTGTAATGGAAATTTTGAAAGTGTTTTGGTGAGGTAACTGAAAATGAAAAGCATTGTGATATCTGTGTCTGTATAATTAGATTTTTCTCAGTGAAGGCCCATCATAATGAGTAGAAAGAAATATTTGCAGTATAATTGTTTTTAGACCTTTTTAAATAGAACATGAATTCTGTGTTGTATCTTAACTTACTGCATAAGAAGTAGGCACCTAATGGAAGTAAATGGATTGGTATTTTTTAAAAAGTGTTCTTTTATATCTTTAGTAGTTTAGAAAAGTAAAATGCTTAATCTGAAATGTCAGATATAAATATTTAGCAGCTGTTCTCTGCAGAATTGTTAAGAGCTCAGATTTTTTGTGGAGAAACTGTTACATCTCTCTGCTGAAGATGCTGCTTCAACACTTAAAGATATTTTCTGTTAGAAACTAGTGACCACAACTCTTGCTGACATGGGAAATTGGAACTTTAGTTAGATTTACTGCTGCTCTGCCTTCAAGTATGTCATATGCTTAGTAAATTTTTTAATAAACCTTAAATGGTTAAAGGAAGTAAGAGTTGTTTCTTTCTGGGAAGTTGTCAGTCTTTCTTAGTTCTGTAGCTCTTAATGTTCAAACTTGGCATTTTGTTGCAAATTCATCAATTTGTTGTTGCTTTATCTGGCTGTTGAAGATGCTTTCCTGGACACGGTGTGCATGTGTAATGTGTAATGCATTTGGAATGGTTTGCTTTCAAGCCAGTGGAAACCGAAAGCCTTTATGTGGAGAAAGCAGTTCCCCCTTTGGCTTGTAGTCAAACTCCTTTCATCTATTAAACTTGTGCGTATTCTTAATCCAACTTACTTGTGTGGGCTTCAAGAGTATTATCACTCTTAGAGGGCTTTTTTCATAGCATCTGACATTTCCCTGTGCCTTCAGTGGAACGGACTGGATGCATTAGGCCTTTAAAGTCTTGGCCTGGCTAAGTGTGACTCTAAGCTTTTGCACCAAAGTAGAATATCATCATAGCTGTCAAGTGGACACTAGTCTCTTGCTGTGCCGTTTTTACATGGTAAGAAAGAGGTTCTACTTCACTTTCTTCTAGTTTGGGGAAGGTTTGATTACAGAACCAGTGTGAATAACATCTGTTCAAAATCAGCCTGTATTGCTAGAGCCTTAACCTCAGGATGGAGATTACTGCAGCAACCAGAAATAAAATCTTAGTGAGTTGTTCTATTACATATATAGCAAACTGCTTATGAGAATCAAAGAAAAGGGGCCTTCCAGGGAAGGCTTGGAAGGGGAGGTATATATTTGTTCCTGTACAAAGCTGACTGCAATCTCCGTCTACAAAAGGTTTCATACTGACATGTGGTGCTGCTCTGCATTCAGGTCACATGAAAATCTAATAGGATTGCTTATCCTTAAACCAGTGTTAACGTTAGACCTATAGCCAGGTTTAGTTATAGAAGGAGATGGCTAGAAAACTCTTTACATTCTCTGTAAAAGTTTTAAGAATTTGCTTCTAGACCATTTTACTGACTTTGTCAGTATCTGGAGTTCAAAAGCACGGATTGTTCTTATAGACCACTTTTTTACATAATTGGCAAGCATGTTCATTATTGAATTCTTCTTTTTTTTTTTTTTTTCTTCTTCCAAACCCATTATTCAGTATTAAGTCTACTGAAACAGAAAAGTATGGTATTTGTGTTAGAAACTGTGGCTTCTAGCTTATGCTGGAAAGCTGAGCATGAATGCTGTTCTCAGTGTTCAGACTGCAGGAGCTTTCCATAACTGCCATGTTCAGACTCTCCTGCAGAAATTAAATGTTGATGAATAGCATTTTCAATTGTTGAAATTTCATAGTCTGTAGGGACTAAAGTGCTTTCATTTTTTCTGTTGCAGTCCTGTTTGAGATTTCGAGAATATTAAACACTGGCTTGGATATGGAGACATTGTCTATTTGTGTGCGGCTTTGTGAACAGGGGATAAATCCAGAAGCATTATCATCTGTTATTAAAGAACTGCGTAAGGCTACAGAAGCTCTAAAGGTAATGCTTTTGCTTAAAAAGCTTATAATTTTGTTTTTAAGAGTTAGATGTATGTTCACCTTGCTATACTTCAATTTGTAAATTTTGCTTTAAGATATGACTCATTTTTAAATCAAAGGAATTAACTGTTCCATAGAAAAGCCAATGAATACAACTGAATGGACCATGAAGCAAGAAATGGTACGAATAAAAACTTCTCAGAAATAATTAGATTAACTCTTTTGAAGGAAAAAAAAAAAACAAACAACAAAAAAAAACAACCACCAAGACTCACAGATTTTTATTCTGGGCATTTTTAGCCACCATTTGCCCCCATCCGTATCTGTATCATATCACAGATAGATTGCTACTTTCTTCTTTAACGCTTATATCACCTCATTTCTACAACCTCAGGCCTAATAGGATCCAGCAGTACTTGTAAACAAAACTGCAGCTTGCTGATGGAATCTTCACATTTTGCTTTTACCACATTAACCGGTGCTTTGAATCTCTCCAAAGACAAACAAGAGGGGGTTTCATGGTTTGTGTATATATAAGGCTTTTCATAATGTAGCATTTACCTGTTTAGCTGTTAGAGAGGGTAACTGTGGTTTAAGAAAAATCCTCACTTGACTTTTTAAGGACTTTCATTCTTTATTGTCTACCCAAACATCATGTTTTCTTTTCTACTGTGTCTTATATTTGTTTATTTCTGGGGAGGTGGAGGGGAAACCTATATCTAGCCTGCGTATCTCTGTTTTGGAAGACTGCATTCTCATTCTTAGAAAATTCACCTTACAGATTTTTGTCTAGACGGGTGCTCGTTAGGGCTATTTTCCACCGGTTTTCAAATTTTTTAGTTTATTTTTAACTTAGCATTTTTCTGTGCTCCTGCATATTTTATATTTGTGTACGTGCTTAAATGTGTGCATACATATATGTTTAACTGTGTGTGTGTAAGTAATTGAGGGCTGTTTTATTTCTTCCTTACTGGTTTATCATTCCTGTTGTTATCATTTGCCTGTTTGTTCCACAACTGGCTTAAAATCTACCGACATCAGTCTCCAACAACTGTACCTTGTTGGCTCTATTGAGTTACTCAGTAATAAAAATACTTACTGATGACCATGATCAAATAATTGGCAGTGTGATTTGTGCAGTTATGATTAGTGTCGTTCTTCTAAGTTTTGTGTCAAGAATATATCTGTATGAGTGGAAGTAATAATTACTATAAGTTGTATAAGAAAGTAAACTCGAAAGGAAAAAAATCATGCATTTTAGCACTATTTGAAAGTGTTAGGGTAAAGTGTACGGGATACAAGCTACTCAGATACAGGGTATACATTTTAACACAAGCAAACAGTAATGGCTGTGTTGCTAAAGGCTAATGGCAGTTGGCAGCAAAAAATAGACATGTTCATTAGAGAACAACATTACACATCTAATAATTTTAGTAAGTAGCTTTTTATTTTTACTTTTAAGTTCTCTAGGTAAGTTAAATTAGTTACAAGAAAAGATTAAATTTAGTTTACATGTTGTCTACTTTTCCTGACTTGCAATAAATGTTTTTTCTGTTTCTAGGCTGCTGAAAATATGACAGGCTAGCATGGGAGAAGATTTCTGCATGAGAAGAATGCCAACTTAATAGAGGCTTTGAAGATTGCCACTATTCATAAAAAAAAATGAAATAAGTGTGTGTGCATGAAGGTTTTGGAATAGTTCTGTAATCTTGAAACGGATGATGTATAGAATAGCTTTGAAAAGTTTTTTTAGTAAGGTTAGTTCACCAATACTCTCATTACTTGGTATTTTTGTGAACTATTTTTGAACATGGCATCCAGTATTTTTTTAAACCATGTCAGATGCTGCACACTTGCTGAATTTACTACTGTGTAGCAACAAATAATTGTTATCATGACTATAGCTTGTTAATGCATCCTTTAGAAGTGCTAATATTATCCTGGTTTTTATCTCTTGCTTTGATGAAAAACAGGAATGAAGTCCATCCTGACTTTATTTTAATTAGAGTAAGGGTAGTGACTTAAGTCTCAATCTGAAAGTAACAAAGAAAGCACTTTTGATAATGTAGGTAATGAATTGTCCTTTTGATTCAAACTGTTGGATAAAATGTTTTTAACTTGGTTAACAAAGGAACTTCAGTTATCCATGCAGAAATGTATGTAAATTTAAATTCTAGATTATATGGAATATTTTACAGAGTTCAAATGCTGCATTTGTTACATTTGTTCTGACTACTAGACCTAAAAATATTAAGGCTATATTGTTAGTTCCTTTTCAAAGCATGTATGAGAAACATCGGATTCTTAAGTCTTAAAAAGTCAATTGGTATAGGAATGTCTTCTCATTCAGCCCTAGGTATCTTCACTGATGCCAAAACCGAGTGTTTACAGTATATACGGTAAACTGTTTATTGTGTTACTTTCCAGTAACTATCCTTGCATCCAGGAATTCTACTTCATAATAAAATGGTTTCTTGTGTATAATTCATCTTCTGCTGTTGTTGAAGCTTTCTCAGTTTTTTGTTATCATGATTTCAAGGTGCAGTGTTAATAGGGTGGAGCACATTTGGAAATGAAGCTGGAATCTTAGTTAAGCTGAACTTTATATTTATGCAGAGAAAGTTCTTTCTACTTTACGAGTTTACATTGCATGCACTCTAGGTTGTAGCTCTACAAAAAGTGATTAAGTAGGCTAAATACTTCATACTGCTGTCAGAGAATTGAAAAATATTTATATTACACTGAATCATTTACTGTTATTTCCAGTTAGCGTGGACAAAAAATAATTCCAGGAGGATCATGTGAACTTTTGGGTAACCAATCTCAGGGACTTCTAAGTTGTATCGGTTAGCTCACTTATATGATCATTTAAAATGCTTTGTAGATTGGTGTTGTAACTTCAGATTTACAACTTTTGAATACTGGGTGTAATGTTTTTTGAAAAGATCAAGGTATCCCTAGTATGAAAAGATATCTACAATAAAATTTATCCTAGGAAATCTGGAAAGTCAGTAAGACATCATGAAAGCACCAAGTCAGATAACACAAATTAGCAATTAGCTCTTTTACTTTATCTAGACTCAGTGCTACATGTCAAAAATGAGACTGGGGAGCATTCTTGTTTTCAGGAGCCATATCTAAGTCTGGGAGTTCTCACTTGTGAAACTTGAACTCTGAAAATGTTGTGTAAACTATAGCAAATGTGCCTGAAATAATTATGAAGTCCTATTAAAGTGCATGTTTCTGCTGGTGCTTTTTCTTTTCCTCCATTGTCAGATCTTTGGGCAATACGGGGATTCTGATGACTTCCCTTGAATGTCACTCTCTTGATTACTTTGCACTTATGTATATTTCCCAGGGTTTTTATAGCTTATTAGCTTGATTTCAGTTTTGGGTCTATGTCCTTAAAATGCTTAAAACCATCTTGCTAATACAGTATGAGAACAATTTCTATGTAATTCTTGATCTGTCCAGTAAGTTGCACCTAGAATTTTACCATCAATAAACTTATGCACTTAGACATTTGCTGGTGAACTGTCATACAGAATTAGAGAAGCAGGGCATGTTTTTGATGTTCAAAAACCTAATTTGTTGGATATAAAGCTGAAAATGTATAATTTTCGTTATTACATGGGACTAAACGGTAGAATTGGTTATGCTGAATAGTTCATATTTACAAAATGAAATGCAAACCTTATAAGGTTGAGTATTTATCATATTTGGGCTGAAAGCAGGGAAGATGTTTCTTAAAATTGGCAGATCTGTGGTTACCTAGAAAGTCTATACACTTTTCTTCAGTATACATGGCAAAGTTTCTTTCAAAATATTGGGCAGAGCAAATGTGCTTAGGAATTTGTATAACAAACTCCTATTCGCTTTTGATTTGGGGTACCATCCAGAAAAATACAAGAAATATTTTTTTTCTTTCTCTTCGTAAGAAAAATGAAGAAAATCCCTCTAGTGGGAAGTTTAATACTGGAAAGGTTTCTGTGCTGTGAAAAGTCTGTCACTTTATTAGCATCTCCACTATGTGAATGTGAGTGCTCAGACTGAGCATTGATAGCCAAGAAGCCTTGGCTGAACTTGTAAACACACACCACTTTCTACTACATTTAACTGTAAGAAGCTGAGCAAACAGCACGTGCTTTTCCTCTGTGCTCCCTATTTACATGCACTTGGAACTCTTGAAAAGATAAACAAAGGAATAGCAATACAGGTCCTGACCAAAGGTTTTTCTAACACAATAGCCTCTTTTGTAGTCAAAAGCAGATGCCTGAGGAAGGATAAGAACAATGCAAGTACATTTGGTTCTTTTCCTTCTGTGTTTTCTTAGCTTCCAAGTATCTTCTATTCCAGGCTTTCCTGAACATCATATGGTTTGTCTATTTAGTAATCCTCAATCCTTCTTTTTTCCAGTACTTCTCCAGTTTCCTCTGGACTATATATGCTTCCTGAATAACAGCAGCCTTCATCAGTTGATGTCTGTTGCATAAAGAATTGCCACTTCTTGTTTATTTTGAACTTGATTTTTACTAGCTTAATTTAATGTTCCCTGTACAGTAAACCTTTACCGATCATGCTTGTGCCAGTTATGATTCTGGAGATGTATAACTTATTCACCTTTAATTTTTCTAAACTGTCTTAACATAATCCTTGGCAACTAAAGGTATAAAACAGCTTCTGTATTTATTGTCCTTTAAAACTTTTCTGGGTCTGTCCTGGTTTCAGCAACAGGGTATCGCATTAAGTTCTGAGAAGAGAACCGAAACTGCACGCACCATTAGCTGTGTAGTTAAGTACTGGCCTGTTTGTTTACTTCTTGTTCCTTATTCCTTTCCTAGTAATTCCTAATACTTGTTTAATTTGAACAGAGCACTGAGCTGTTTTCATGGCATTATCCATCATAACCACAGGATCTCACTCTTGAGTGGTAATAATAAGCTGAGAGGCTACTTTTTCATATATGAAACTACAGTTGTTTATCTCCATGTATATAATTTTTTATTCATCTATGCTAAATTGCATCTGTTATTTTATTTTGTAATCAGTCTTACATGTGTTTCTGCAGTTCTTAAAAGTTTGCCAGTAGTCTTACTAACTCACTAACTTTATCATTGGCAAGTATTGTTGCTTTGTCCCTTTGTTAAGGTTAATTATGACTGCAGAGTGCCACTGGTGACCTATGGCAGGAACTGACTGTTTATTCCCATTCCTTTTCAGTGATTGCAAATAAAATGCAGTCCTGCCTACCACTTAATTTCTCATTCTTATACTGAGTATCTTTAGTGTCACATACAGCACAGCTGTGAGAGCTTAAGCACAAACATTAATCCAGTCCTGCAGAGAGCGTGGCATTCTAGATAACTTTCAGGATCAGACATTTGGAGCTATATAGTTACATTTTAGAAATATAAACTTCAGTATGGAAGTAATTTTACAGGAAATTGTAGTAATAAACAAAAAGACAAACATCTGATCCTGAAGTCTCCATGTTAACGTTAGGGAGTTTTTGTTTCTTAGGCAATTACATTAACCAAAAAAGTCTGTTAACAAAAAAAAAAAAAAGCTGCTTAGGAATTGGTTTAACAAACTCCTGATCACTTTTGATGGGGGTTAACATCCAGAACAAATACAAGAAACGATTAGGCCAAGACACTTGGCCTAATAGAACTGTGTTCATGAAAAGTGCATGTTTGTCAGCTGGTGCTCTTTTCCCACCTGCTGGTTTCCAGCTGAGCAAATACTGGTGCAATCCTAGACTTGCTTTTTGAGTCAATTAACTAGTTCCCTCTGAGATGAGCTTGAATGCTGCTGTGGGCACACTTCACTCTAGGGACTGCTCCCAGCAGGGTGCACCAGGTTGGGCCCTTCCATTCTTCCCCAATGCTTTTCACTTTCAGACACCCCCACCTGCTTTTGCATGCTTATAGTTTCATGCTATAGAAACCCTGCAGCCTTCATTATTTGAATATACTTTGAATTAAAAGCAAAAGTACAAAAAATGACAATAACCTAAGAATAATGCTATGCAGTGTGGCTGCAGAAAACCTACTTTAGAGAGAGCTAACACTGACCAGTGGGGCTTTACATTACTATATATGGTCTGAGCTGGGGCGTTAGTCATGCCTTTTGTAGTGGAGATTCAAATCTTTGAAACACAAAAATTACTTTTATTAAAATTTTGGAAAACAGAATTTCAATGACTGAAAGATGTGTCAAAGTAATTTCAACCATTAAAAGAGCAAGGGTGATAACAGAATTGAAGACCAGTCAGCTAGCTTCAGTACTAGCAAACAGTGAACTGGTGAGTTTGGGATTTTATCAGCAAAGACTGAAAGACCAAAAAAGTGTGTGGAATTCCATTTGAACATTGTTTGGTAGAAATGTTAAGTGGGGTAATTTTTTTATTATTTATGGGTTTACATGCGAGATGTTGATGTAGTGTGCTTCAATTTATGCAGGACAAGTTTCACTTAATATACACCATTGGCATCATTCATTAAAAACACAGATGTACTGTGTTGTTACCTGTTTTGCTGTCTTGTTACCTTGGGAGTGAGATGTGAAAAAAAAAAAAAAACACTT